TCATGAGTCTTCTGCATAGTTTTGGAAAAACAGGTTTGTTTACATAGTATTTGAACATTTAGGCACATTTTGATGCATACTGAAAGAGTGTTTCTTGTGATTTTGAGAGTTTTAAAAAAAAATCTTATAGATGGTCTTTTAAAAATTATGCTCTGAAATATCTTTTAAGGATAGTGGCTGAAAATTTATACATATCTGGCTATTAATTTTAAAAAATTTCTTTGCCTTTCTGCATCTCATGGAGTTAATGTTTTAAGTGTTCTGGAAGACTAAGGACTATTATCAAATTCATTAAAAGTTGTAAGGGCAGGCAGGGATATAAAACACAAACTTTGAATTATGTTTCACACAGAAATGAAAATATAATTTTACTTGAACCCTCGGGCATTTTTGGAAGGTTTTAAAGTCTGCCAGACTCTGGAGCCTAGCCAGTGGACATAGGAACTAGATTCTTCTAAAAGTGCTTCAGATACCTTATGAAAACACTAAACAGGGTGTTTGGTTACCCCCCTGAATATTATTAGGCTGCCTAAATTTGACCTTTTAATCTCTTTGATCGCTAATACTGAATTATGTAGGAAGATGTAGACAGTGGTGGTGTCTAATTTTCTACAGTCCTATATAATTTTAATATGTTTTTTTTCTTGCTTTTTTCAGTCTTGTTTGTTTTTTAAAGCGTGCCCCACACTAACTTTGAAAGAAATGGGAGAATTTGCAAGGTCATTTTAATCTATGAACAGTCATAAAGGATTGTTATGGTTTATCCTTGTTAGAGCATAAATTATATCAGGGTCCCACATTAGCAGGCCCATTTTCAGGTTATCTGTGATAGAGAAGAAAATTAAAGGCTATTATTTCCACAATAGTACTCAACTTCTATTTAAAAAAAAAAAAAATCAAAACAGAATCAGTGATTTTAAATCTCTTATAAGTTGCTAAGGTAATTGGTTTGTTTTTCACTTTCTTGTACTGTGTTTATAAAACCAAGTCAAACTCTTGAGAGTATTTTATGTCTTTAATTATTTTTAGATTTTTATTTACTAGACATAAGGGTTTTTTCCAAAAGAACTGTTTTGAACTACATGTCTAGTGTAATTCACCATGAAATCTAGTATAATTTAACCTCATTAAGCTTTCTATTTTAAGCCTACTTTAAAAGTAATTCTGTGTTTGTTTGGTGAATATTATGCCAAAGAAAGTATCCAAAATAATTTTATAATCTACGTTATTCCTCACAAGAATTACATATTAAGTCAAAATCTTCCCCATCTTTCCCTATTTTTAAATTATTATCTTAAGGAAACTTTAAAATGGGAAACTGGACGTAGTGTATTATTATAACTGTTAAATTTATCCAGTGACCTGAGCACAAGCAATCTGTGGTGAAAAGCTCTTTTATCATTGCAGTCCTAATAAACTCTTAAATGGCATGGATCGTTTTAAATCCTATTCAAATACTTCTGTGTTAGATTCTATTAATCTCCATCTACTTCAGTGTTGAGCAGTTTGCAGGAGAGGGGCCAGAGATGCATGAATGTTCATATTTTGAAGTGTGTACCCTAATGGATTCTTAACCTAAACACACCAAAGATTTCTGTTAGCTGTTAAGTAGTGGCAGAGTTATAGAATTTTAAGTGTTATCGATATTTAAATAGGACTTAGCCAAAGAAGCACAATAGAAGTCCTAAACTTTAAAAGTTCAGTTTCTAAAACAGGACTACATATGTTTAACTGTTCTGTGTTTGTATCTCTAAAGTAAAATTTAGAGCTGTGCTCTGGGAATGTTCAGACTGTCATGCTGTAAATATATCTGGTAAAAAGCTGAATACTAGCAAATACACAGCAATAACGAGGCCATTGAATGCCACCTTCTGAAAGGACACTATCAAGTACTACCCTTCCTGCTTTCTAACTCCACCTTCATTTCCTTTCAAAATAAAACTCTTTCTACCTTCTTTACACTCCATGGCTTGAAAATGGCGGTCTTATGTATAGCTTTCAAGTTGACATGTGTGTACCATATTCATATTACCACATGTGGACATGAAACATGATTTCCAGCATTTGTAATTGTACTGTTAACCCGACATCAGTGGTGTCAGTGAAGTTCTCAGACTAAAAAGCCTAACTCTTTGTTATTTCTGGTCTTTTCTGTCCTACAGTAGAAAAAAGTATTGTAGGATTTTGATAAAACTGTGGCTTAAAAATAGTTGGTAACTGATTTTTTTTCTTTTAAAATCCAGTCTGTTCAGAAGGCACTCTAGGAACATACTAAAATGGAATTTGGAGCATACTTACTTGATAATGTCCTTTTAAAAATTCTTTCATGATTGTGCCTTTTATATATATTCTGAATAATGGCTTTTTCTCTAGTTTAGTTGATTATTCAGAAAACATTAAAGTCAATATCTTCCAAAGGGCTTCATGTTTTGGGTGCCCAACAAGAAACAGACTATAAAAGGACTCATTTTTCAGAAAAATGAGTGCAATCTTTGTTGTTTGGGTGACCAGAATTACTAGTCATTCCTGGAAAAAAATGACCTACTAGTTCTCTGGCATTCTTTTGTTTGCAGATAATCATACTAGTTAGTGTTTTTACCTGCTGGTCAGGCTGGATCATTGCCAGTTGACAGTGAAAGAAAATAGGAAAGCTTATGTGCTAGAAACATAGTTTTTATTTTTTTAATATCATGGGCTATAATTCTTATGGCTTTACATCTATTTAAAATTCATATATATGAGCAAAGTAAATTTTCATGGACTGGTACTTCATTTGGTAGGTGGATGTAGCTGGTCTCTGCTTGATGGAATACAGTTCCTCTTAGGAGGACTGGAATTGAAGGGCAGAGATTGGCACCTCACAACTGCATGGGTCGAAACTCCTTAGATGTCTGATTCCTCCATTTAGGATGTATATGTACTCATCCAAGAGTGCATGTCCTGTTGATGCGGAGGTGTTTTTACAATAAAGGTTATGTTTTATCTGGCAGTCATTGACTCAGTTGACCGTTTGTTGCCAAAGAAGGAAGAAGCAGGTCTCTCTTACAAATAGCTCTAAGGAACGATCAGTGACACATTGCAAAAAGTTGGTCTTTTCCACATGCTGACCTTTGGGGCGAAGAGTGGAATCCATTTTCATACTTTAAACTGCTACATGGTTCTGAGAACTTACTGCACTTGTTCTGTTTAAACCATTGAATTCTGCATTTTTTGCTAAACTAATTTCTGGTTGTTGACTGGGTTACTGCCCTTAATTCTTTAAATGAATTTTATGTTCAGTTTATTTATTTATATTGGATTTTCCTCTTTGAGCACTGACACTTTTCCTACAGAGGTATCACTCTCATGGGTTTTTTTGTGTTGAACATCAGTAATGGTAATGGCGACGATGTATCTTCTGTAAGGCTGTGGTTTCCTTAAAAATGCAGCACTACTTTAGTCTGGATTATAATTCGGGTAGTTATTTTCAAAGATGGGTCATGCCGGAACACTGACAAAAGATTTATTTGGCATCATCAAAGAGCTAAGCTTATTTCCCTAGTAACGAATGAGAAAGAGCATCCATGACTCTGAAGGATGCTTCAAAGGAATTACCTGATAACATGTGGAGTGCTAAGGAATAAATGACACTCAGGTTTTTAAATTTAAAATAATATCTGTGTAGAAGTTAATGAATGTAGATGAATGAATTCCGAGAAGGCTGTTGTAGATGAATAGGGTTTTTTCCCTGAAAACAATAAAAATGATGTGATTTTTTTTCCATATTGAGCATACATGCATAACTGATCCAGATTGCATGTTCTCCATATGACTGAATCTTAAGGGAAATAGAGTGCATTTATCTGTAGGTCCTTGTGACTGCTGTCACATGTGACCTTTTCCTATGATACCATCTCAGTGATTTGATTGTTTCATCATATGCACTGAAGAATGAAACTGGCAGAATATAATGCAGGGCAGTCACTTTGCTTAAGCCCATAAGGATCTTTTTCATGGTTCATGAGAAATGTTTTGGTTTTAAAAGGATTTGATGGATTAAAGGTAATGATGGCAAACATTTTAATCTCCTATAACCATTTGGATCATGTTTAAATGTGGGTCTTTTTATATGAAAGAATAAGGTGAAATAAGCTCAATATTTTGTCACTGGTATATGAGATAACGTGTTTTAAATGTGATCTGTATAGGTTGATATTTTAGATGGAAGTCTTTAAGTAAAGTTGTCTTTTTAGGGGAAATTCTTTGCTGTAAGGAAAAGTTAGGAAGTGTACTGTAAATGTAGAAGTACTCAGTCCTGTGTAATTTTGTTTGTTACGGAAAAGTAAAGTTCTTTTGTCTTAACATTGCTTGCTTCACAGGATTTCTTGCAGGGGTGCGTGCGCTAAGTTTTGGTTTCTGCCCCTTTTTTTAACAGCATGGAAACACAGTATTCTGTATGTCTTTCAGTTTTAAAGCTCATGAAAGATAAACAGATGAGGCCAATTTTTTCATCAAATTTGTACGCCTCATTCTACTTTTTATTTTAAACTATTTTGTAAATTAAATTTATTTAGAAAAATACTTGGCTTCGCTTGATTTATTTATTTTCCTTTTTTAATCTGGGGAGAGCTTTTAAATCCTTGGTTTTGTTTTGTAATTTCGAAGCGGGCCGCCAGCTGGCCAGGGCCGAGGCCTGGGGGCGGGCTCGGGCCGTTTAAATAAAACGCCGAGCGCTCAGTGGCGGAGGAGCGCGGTAATGAATATTAACC